TGGGATAAGAGAATAGGTTCAGTGGTACTGCGGACTCCACTTTGCAGCATATTTTTCGGATATTTGATACTACAAAAGACTGTAAACTAACTGCTTATCATAGAGGTGGAAAGCAGAGATTTTTTTCTACTTTGAACTGAGCTGATCTGGGCAGTTGAAGACAACCCCTTACACGTTATTACTAAACTTCTCTGTAGTCACCGGCGTCTTCCTGATCATATTTACTCTACTCTGAACCAGTCCGGTTTGTAGAACGCTCCTTTAGGGTCAGTGCTATTTGGTCCGGACCCTTGGCGAACAAGATTTAAGCCGCTTGAGGGAAGGAGCAAACGGAGAAGCTTGAGTACAGAATAGAAAGTATTGAACAAAGATTGAGATATTTGAGCGGTAGACCACTTATTACTACCAATCCTGCCCGATGCAATGGGTTGCGCAGTCTTGATTATCGTGCGCGACGACCGATGCCGTATGATATTATTTTTAGTATGTGTATGCATTGGGGTTTGACGGACCGGTACTGCTATGATGTCCATAGACTAAACAGGAGAACCATTAGGGTTCTCAATCGAAGAACACAAAACATGTGATTGCGTGTGACAATGCAACCTGTCACCTTAAACAGGAAAACATGGTTGCCGGAGGAATACTAATCACTCTTGGACTTGATCCATATTCTCCAGCGTTGAATCGGATTGACTTGATATGGAGCAGCAACGAAAAACTACATCAAAACAATGCTCTGAGTTCGGTATGATAAGATGAACCAACAGGATTGGAGAACGGCATGTCTGGAAAGCATTACTGGTGATGTCAAGTCTCAAATCACGAAGGAGCATTATCAGCATGCACCTGGCTGTGTTCGCGTACATTATCCGACAGCTATCAAAATCCTTGATTTTTTATACATTTGATTGTTAATTATTTGTTTTAATCACCGAACGCTTTCGTGAACGGAAGATAAAGGTCAGATATTTTTATTACTGTATAAATTAATATGCCGAGTACTGGCGAAATTTCGTGGAATCCAAAGCAAATTTACAATTACAGTAGACCGGTGTTCCACTTTAGGGTTGTGAACAATTTCATGCGGATGCAAACCCACGGTAGGCAGTGCTTTTCAGGTCAAATAGCGATTGAAGACCAGTCAAAGCAAGCATTTCGCGAATTACTAAAATCAAACGATCATGTATGTAAAACCCACAGAGTAAATTGGGCAATGGGACATTCGCATTTTGTTGGGATGCAACTGGTACTATCAACCACTAGGGTCTAGTCCAGTCAAGTCCAAATTATCCCCAAACGTTGGATTAATTTCCATTGCGGATGAATGAGGAAACATCTTTGATCTGTGTACCGAAAGACTTACTTTTGGGGACGGGAAAAGAAAGCGAACCTCTATGGTCAGCACACAGAATACATAGTCCAGTTGTGCATACATACTGTTTCAAGCATCCTGGTCTGATTAGAAGTGACAGCATGAACGCCATTGCTGTCGGTTCGCAGCCACGACCTTCAGTGTCTCCAACCATGTGGTTACGGAGTCTTTTGGACCCGGAGGACGAGAGAGACTCACTCAACCGAATTACTCTGTGCATTTATTCATGCCTCATCTCCACGTCATTTGGTGACCTTTACGTGACTTTCTCCAGTCTGCTACAGCCACTGCGAATAAGGCGCGCTGCGGTAGGCGACCGTCGGACATACTCAAAAAGTGTCCTAACCAACGGAGCCCGACAAACTGGAGGAGTAAGAACCACACCCACACCTTTCGGGTTGTGGCAACGGTCACCAGCTCGATTGGGCATCAAGGTATATTGGGCACCTTGGACATCTGATCCC